AGTTGAGTCCATTGATGTTGATAGATAATAGTGAGAAAATAATGTTAGTTTCTTTTTTGTGTTGTTGGTGATAGTGTGTTGTATGCTTGTTTTGATTTTTTGTTGTGTAGTTATCTATGTACTGTGTATTCTTCGGTGTAGTTGATTTTGTTAGATTGTAGTAGGGCTAGGTTGCTGTGGTGATATTGTTTACGTTTACTTTTGTCATGGAATATCTTGTTTTCTCCATCTATGTTGATTGAAATCTTTGCTGGGTATAGTATTCTGGCTTGACATCTGTGTTCTCTTATAGTCTACATGACATCTGCTCAGGCCTTTCTGGCTTTCATAGTCTGTTGAGAAGTCTGGGGTGATTTTGATAGGTCTACATTTGTAAGTTACTTGGCCCTTTTCTCTGATGCTTTTAATGTTTTTATTTGTTTGTTTGTTTTGTTTTATGTAGATTTAGTGTTTTGACAATTATGGAATGTGAGGAGTTTCTTTTCCGGTCTAGTCTACTGGTATTCTGAAAGCCTCCTGTACGTTTAAGGACATCTCTTTTAAAATTGGAAAATATTCTTCTCTGATTTTCTTGAAATTATTTTCTGGACCCTGGAGCCTGGAATCTTCTTTTTTGTCTATTCCTGTTATTCTTAGATTTTGTATTTCAATGGTGTCCTTGATTTCTTGGATGTTTTGTGTTTGGGACTTTCCTGATTTTATTTTTTCTTTGAGAGATGTATCAGTTCCTGCAATTGTATCTTCTGTGCCTTCAATATCTTATGTTCTGTTTGTGAGGTTTACCTTTGTGCATCCTGATTGCTTCTCTAATTTCTCCAGCTCCAAGGTTTTCTTTCTCTTTTTTTTGTTATCTTTATTGATTCTAATTCTGTTCTCATTTCTTGCACCATTTACTTGATGCGATTGAATTTGGATTCCTATCTTTCCATGATGGCATCAATTTTCTTTGATTGTTTCCTCTTCATGTGCCTCTATTTATGTGGCCATATTTGTCTCTATTTCTTTGAGAGCTTTGTTTATTTCCTCTTTATGTACTTCTAATAACTGGATACTCATAGATTTAAAATAATTTTCCTTTTTTCTGATGAATTAAAATATCTATTGTTTTTGGTGGTTGCTGGTGAAGCCATGATATCCTGATTTTTGTTGGATGTGTTCTTACACTGGCCTGTAGCCATCTGATGTTCCGTAGTCTTTGCTGTTTGTTCCTGGAGCTTGTATTGCAGACTGGGTCTATCTCTGGAGTGTGGATTATTCTTCAGGAAGAGAAGATAGGTCCACTGGTTTAAGAGTGGGTTTTGTTGTTTCATATGTAGCTAAGGGAAGAAGGTCACAGGTGCATGTGCGCAAGTGCAGTAGTGTGTATGGAAGTCTGTCTGCCTGAAAGGGTGGAATGTGAGAGAGGAATGTTAGCTCAGGTGGTGGTACAGGCTCAGCAGGTACAGTTTGCATGCACAAGTGTCTTGAATGTCCCAGTGGACCACAGACCTGTTGTGGTATTTTGTTTCAAGTGTTCAGATCTGTCTAGGATGCACCATCTTTGTTCCAAGAATTATTTCCAGGAATTGTTTCCCTGGACTACACTAGGAGACCCACAGAACAGGAACTTTAATGTTGACAATGCTGTCCTGTGGATATTAATGCTGCCCACAGTGGGGGTGTGAGTGGTAAAGATCTGATGTCTAGTGATGTAGAGGGACCTGGGATCTGAGGTTCTGTAAGCACTCTCTCAGAAATGCACTCACTTGCAGGAGTGTGTGGAAAGCACAGGAGGCCCACAGTTTTCTACTCTCATGTTTGGGTCCCTTGTTTGGCCATTAGAGGAAGTAGGCCCCTTACCTGGGGTTATGTGCACCATGCTATTGCTGGAGCAAGTGAAAGTGCAGCTGAGAATGCAGGTGGTCAATAGTTCACCACTCTCAGACCCCAGACACGGGGGTCCTGGATCCAATCTGTCCCAGCACGCGATTGTCCTCTCTAACCCTGGAAACCTCAGTGTCAATGCTCTGGACTCAACAGGCCATCCACTCACCAGTTTTGCAGTTTTTGCTCCTCTGTCCTTCAGAAATTGTGGGCACTAGTCACTGCCTTATTGGAGTCCTAAAATCTTTCAGTTTTGAAAATCATATTTGACAAAACATATAAGAATTCAAGAAAAGCAAACCAGATAGACATCAGAAGAGGGAGAAAACAGGGAAGAGGACAGGAGCTTACCACAGAGGGCCTCTGAAAAACTCTGCACAGCAAGGTATTGAAGTAGATACTGAGACTCATAGCCAAATTTAGGAAGAGTGCTGAGAGAGACAGAAAGACCTGGAGGGGTCAGGACCTCCACAAGGAGAGCAAGAGATCCAAAAAATCTGGTCCCAGAGGTCTTTTCTGAGACTAGTACTCCAACCAAGGACCATGAATGGAGATAAGCTAGAACCCCTGCATGGATGTAGCCCATGACAGCTCAGTTTCTAATTTGATTCCCTAGTAAGGGGAACAGGGACTGTCTCTGACATGATCTCAGTGGCTAACTCTTTGACTACCTTCCCTTATTGGATGTTGCAGCCTTACCAGGCCACAGAGGAAAACAATATATCCAGTGCTGATGAGACATGATAGGATACGGTCAGAAGGATGGGGAAGAGGGCCTTCCCTATCTTTGGACTTGGGTGGTGAAATGGGAAGAGAAGAGAGAGGGAAGCTGGGATTTGGAAGGGGCTATAGCTGTGAAATAAAATGAAAAATTGTAATAAATAATAAGATAAATAAAAATTATTCGGTGATTAATCAAAATTATTTCTGTAAAGATACTGGCAGGAGAGCAAAAAACATACATTGACTAAAATGAACTGTTACAAACTATCAATAATTTACTTTTCACTAGAATATGTAATAAAACTTAAGAAAGCAAGTATATTTTAATATATAGGCTGGAAAATTAAACAGATAGTTAATTAATGAGCATCCATTATTGTCGTACTAGCATATTAGCTATTGTTAGTTCTTAAGGACATACAAACTTAAACCAAAATGTGATACTACTATAAAGTTAGTACATGATTAAAGTTAAACCATGAAGCAAAACCATCTCATCATTTATTTTTTTCTCAATGAAAGAAAGAACCTGATACTCTTGTATACTACTAGTGTGGATAAAACTGTTTTAAATAGCTTTATGGCTCCTTATATATTTAGACACTAACCACAAAATTCTTTCATTTTATTCCTAAGTATTTATCCAAAAGATATGAAGTTGTATGCTCAAATCAATGTTGCTATCAAATATATACAGTTGCTTTCTAAAAAAGCTAATAAATAGAAAGTAAATACGAATGATCAGGTCAATAAACTAACACAATTAAGACATATACATAAGGGAATATGTTCTAATTTTATTTTGGTTGTTGTGGTTAAAATACTTTGAGAAAAAGCAACCTAGGAGAGAAATCTATTTTAACTCAAAATTACAGAACACGGTTGATTTTTGTTGAGAAGTCAGGTTGACAGGAGCTCAAGATAGCTAGTCATATCCACAGTGAAGAGCAGAGATTATTTAATGAATATATGCTTTACTGTTCAGCTTACTTTTCCATACTCTTATTTATTCCACAACTTCAAACCCACATATGGTTCCACCAATAATAGGCTTGGTCTTCCTATACTGATTAAGGTGATCATGAAGTTCCCTACCTATGTAGGACTTCCATGGAGGAAGGGGGACACCAGCTCATCTGTACAACCCTCAACCCAAAATTTGTCTTACCTTCAAGAAGTATATGGATAAAGATGGAGCAGAGATTCATGGTATATACCCACTTTTAAGCAGGTATTAGCTATATAATGCAGCATAACCATGTTACAACGCACAGACCTAAATTAGCTAAATAAAAGGAGGACCGTAGGGAGGATGTTTTATTCTCATTCAGAAGGGCAAATAGATAGACAGTGGAAGTGGGTGAAGAGAAGAAACAGAATGGGAGCCTACCATGGATGTCCTCTGAAAAACTCCACCCAGTAGAGTATCAAAGCAGATGCTGAGACTCACAGCCAAACTTTGGGCAGAGCACAGGGAGTCTTTTGGAAGAGTGGGGGGATAGAAGGACAAGAGGGGAGCTCCACAAAAAGACCAACAGAGCAAACAAATCTGGGCCCAGGGTGGGCCTGCAGACACTGAGGCACCAACCAAGGACAATGCATGGACAGAACTTAGACCCCCTGCTCAGATGTAGCTGATAGGTAGCTTTGTCTCCATGTGGGTTCCCTAGTAAAGGGAGCAGTGCCTATCTCTGAAGTGGACTCTGTTGCTTGCTCTTCAGTCACTTCTCCCTAGCAGAGTAGCCTTGCCAGGCCATGAAGGATAAAGATGCAGGCAGTCCTGATGGGACTTGATAGTTTAGGGTCAGATGTTAGGGAAGGTAGGGTTCCCTCTGTCTGAGTATTAGTGAAGAGGTTAGGCAGGGAGAGAGAGGGATGGTAGGATCCATGAGTAGAAAAGGAAGGTGGCTATAATTGGACTGAACATTGACTCAATTAAAAAAAAATAACCCTAATAAAAAATGAGGGAATGGCAAACAAATGACTGGCCCAACTTGAGACCCACCCCACAGGAGAAAGCCAACCCCTGAAAATTGGTATTTTTCTTTTAATGAATTATGCATAGGTAAGCAAAATAAGTGTATTTATAGAAGTAGACATTGGTGAAAGTTTGCAGATCAAAGTGTTGATAGGAATTTTATTGTGCTTATCATTTTACCGTAAATTTTCATACTAAAATATAGTCATATTGAACATGAAGCAATAATCTCTGAGTATGAAACATTGGTCATCTAGATTAAAGCAGAGCTATTCATGTCTGATATTATAATAAATCATTTTGTGATATTATACTAACCAGTTTGTGTTAATTTTGAACAATTTAACTTACTTACTAAAACAAATTTTGAAGGCTTAGGAAATGAGAGAACATCTTTGCAATAATTTTACTTAATAACTTACTTTGATTATTTCAGGACCATCTGTACTTAATTTTGGTAATGTTTGTGTGGAATCTACAAATACTCAGCTACTTCATGTTGTTAATATGCTGCCCATGTATGTATTGATCCAGTTAGATAGTGATTTGGAAGAACTTCAGAAAACCAACCAATTTTCATATGTGATCCCACCTACATCTACTACATATATTTCAGTGGTGTTTGAATCTTCTACCAATGGGAAATTCTGGAAGTAAGGTTATTTCTCAGTTTCTGCTTTCTAGAATCATTTCTCATATGTATTAATTTACTTCAATAGTTGTAGCATAGAATGTTTTATCACAAATTACAGAAAGTATATTTTGACATTTTGTACACTTGTATTTTCATATACTTAGTGATAATCTAATTTCCTCCCATATTTTCAGAAATAATTACGTATCATAATTTATACCATATATATTTTATATGTATCTGAAATCTGTAATCATAAATAAATGCTATTTATAAATAGATATGCTTTTAGTTAAATATTGGAGTTTCTACTTTATTACAGATCATTCACATTTAGAATTAACAACGTAAATGGTGGACATATCCTAGTGTCGGCTGTCATCATGCCTCCAAAACTTGAGATGTCTTCTAATGAGATTGTATTGAGACCACAAACTTTCTTGTTGAAAACATGTTTTCGGGGAACAGTTAGACTCTATAATCATCTGAATCTCCCTGCTCAGTTTGGGTGGCAACCAGTAAATGCACTGAAAGGAATTGCATTTACTGTTCGTCCAGCCAAAGGTAATAGTTTTTTTCTTTTGTTTTGTTTTATTTAGAAATTCGTTCATTCAGTCATGTATTTAGGCATTAATTATTTATTGAGCATGTTCTTTGTACTTATGTAAAGAGCATAGACAGAAACTACAATATATCATCAGGCATATTTATTCTTATATATCTAAATAGGACTTGAAAGTAAGGATCATGTTATGTGATTCTAATAGAAACACATAGTGAGAGATAGATATGGAGATATAAGTTTAAAGCAGCCTGTCCTTATGAGACTTGATAATCTGGGTTCCCAGAGAAGGGGACGAGGACCTATCCTATCAGTGGATTAGGGAATGGGCATGGGGGGGGGAAGAAGGAGAGTGGGTGGGACCAAGAGGAAACTAGGGGGGTTACAGTGGCTATACAAAGTGAATAAATTGTAATAAATAATAAAAAACTGATTAAAGTGTATCAATATATTATTTTTAAAAGATCCATGAGAAAGGGAAGCATGCCTAGTTTTTACCACTGTGTCCTTAGAGAGACTGTGCATAGATAGTCAGTAGTTGCCAAAATAAACAGAAAAATGGGTGTTGTAAATTAAAATAATTAAGTTCTTGGTTAGCTATGTTGCTTAACAAGTATGAAGTTTAAAAGGCAAGATGGGAGGTTACAAACACTTACTAATGCAAGCCTGTCAAATTATTGAGTAAGACACACTTGCATTAGTAAATGTAATCTGAATATGCATTTGCTTATAAAAACTTCCATACCTCACTCAGGATGATCTTTTCTAGCGATAACCCAGAAGTAGAAAGACACATATGGTATATAATCACTTATAAGTGGATATTAACCATATAATATAGGATAAACATACTAAAATTTATAACCCTAAGAAGCTAAACAACAAAGAGGACCCTAGGGAAGAAGCTGAGACCTCGCTCAGAAGGGCAAAAAGGATAGACATCGGAAGTAGGAGAAGAGAGGGAACAGGACAGGAGCCTTCCACAGGGGCCCCTGAAAGACTCTATCCATCAGGGTATTTAAGAAGATACTGAGACTCATAGCCAAACTTTGGGGCCGTCTACAGGAAATCTTATGGAGGAAGAGGGAGACAGAAAAACCTGGAGGGGACAGGAATTCCACAGGGAGACCAACAGAACCAAAAATCCTGGGCCCAGGAGGTCCTGCAGTGACTGATACTCCAACAAAGGACTATGCATGAAAAGAGGATCTAGAACCCCTGCTCAGAGAAAGCCCATAGACTGCTCAGTTTCCACGTGTTCCAAAGTAAGGGGTTCAGGGGCTGTCTCTGACATGAACTCAGTGGCTGGCTCTTTGATCACCTCTTTCTGGGGAGAGGTGCAAACTTTCCAGGAATATGCAGCCAGTCTGGATGAAACCTGAGAGGCTATGATCAGGTAGAAAGGGAGGAGATCTTCCCTTATCAGTGGGCTAGGGAAGGGACATACGGGGAGAAGAAGGAGGTGGTTGGGTCTGGGAGGAGATGAGGGAGAGTTCTACAGCAAGGATACAAAGTGAATAAACTGAAATAAATAAATAAATTAGAAAGTTAATAAAACTCTTTCATACCACATAAACTATATCAAATTAGCATATTATATGATCTAAATTTATGCAGCATTTTTCAGTTAATTATTTTATATCTACTAATTTATTCACATTTGAATATTGTCAAAGTTATAACCATAGTGTTTGACCACACAACTGGGCTTCTCGATCTAAACAATGCAAAATATTAACTATTGCAGATACTGCTGAAAGAGACTGTTTTTGTTGTTCGAGCATAATTGTGATTTACAGTTACTTACATTTTCTTACATTTTAAATTATTTAAAATTAATTATAGCCAGTAATGAATAAAATTAAGAAAATATAATTTTAATATAATTAAAAACTTAAGACTGTCATTTATTAAGAACAGTAATATAAACAAGTCTGAATTACTGCTTTTGAAGGGCCCTGGAATTAATCATCCACTTAATGCTTGTTTCATTCCCTATAATCTCATAATTTCATGTAATGTGTTTCTTATTAAACAAACTCAGTAACTTCTAAACTATAGTTTAACTAGTAACCTATGTTTTTTGGAAATAATCATTGTGTTGTGCTGTGAGACCTTGTAAGGACATAGGTATAATTTAAAAAGCAAAGTTGTAAGTTACCAGTTGATAAATACTGTCTTTTCATTTTATATACATGTTATACGTTTACAGTTGGATGCAAAGTAAAATAAAGATTCAAGATGATCTTATCTTCTCACTCATTAGTTAAGTTAATTTATCATGAGCAATTTTCACTATGCATACTTCTTTCCTCACCTATGTAATGAACATATGTGCCAGAGTCTGATAAAGGGCTCCATAGTTATGAGTGGTTGCTGCTCTTAAAGAGTCTTCAGTTTTGGTTCTTAGAACCCACATGGTTGATAAACTGTCTGTAACTCTGGTTCAAGAAGATCTAATGTCCTCTTTTGACCTCTGAAGGCTATTGCATGCATGTGAAACACATACATATATTCAGGCACCTACAAGTAACACATGAAATGAATGTTTAATACTAAATGGATAGAAATCTATAATTTCTCACACAGTATGGTAAAACAGTGAATGGATAGTTATATGACTGTGAGCACAATCTTACATTTGTACTATTTTTTCATTTGAAAGTATCATGTGGAAATTAGCAGTTTATTATATACCTAAATATTTTTCTTTTTTTAAATTAAATTATTATTTTTTAATTACAATTTATTCATTTTGTATCCCAGCTGTAGTTCCCTCACTCATTCCCCTACTAATCCCACCCTCCCTCCTACTTCTCCTCCCATTTACCTCCCCAAGTCCACTGATAGGGGAGGTCTTCTTCTCTTTTCCTCAAACCTTAGCCTATCAGGTCTCATCAGAACTGGCTGAATTTTGTTATTCTGTGGCCTGGTAGGCCTGCTCCACCCTCAGGGTGGACACTGAATTCATGTCAGAAACAGTCCCTGTTCCGATTACTAGGGAACCCACTTGGAGAGTGAGCTTACCTTGGCTATATCTGTGCAGAGGTTCTAGGTTATCCGTACTCCTTGGTTGGAGTATCAATCTCAGAAAAGACCCTTGTGCCCCATTTTTTTGTTTCTATTGTTCCTGTCCTCTCCAGGTCTTTCATCTCCTCATCTTGCATAAGATTCCCTACACTCTGCCCAAAGTGTGACTATGAGTCTCAGCACCTGCTTTGATACCCTGTGGTGTAGAGTCTTTCAGAGGCCCTCTGTGGTAGGCTCCTGCTTGTTCTCTGTTTTCTCCCTCTTCTAATATCTATCCCCTTTGACTTTCTGAATGAGGATTGCTCGTCTTGCCCAACTTATTTAGGTGTACAGATTTTAGTAAATTAATCCTATAATATAGGTCTAATATCCAATTTTTAGGGAGTATATACTATGCTTATCTTTCTGATTCCAGGTTACCTCACACAGGATGATCTTTTCTAGTTTCCACCATTTGCCTGCAGATTTCATGATTTCCTTGCTTTTTGTTGCTGAGTAGTATTTCACTGTGTAAATGCATCACAATTTCTGTATCCATTCCTCAGTTGAGATACATCTGGGTTGTTTCCAGATTCTGGCTACTAAAAATAAAGCTGCTATGAACATGGTTGAACAAATGTCCTTGTTGTGTACTTGAGCATATTTTAGATATATGCCTAGGGATATTATAGCTGAACCTTGAGGTAGCACTATTCCTACTTGTCTGATAAAGCACCAGATTGAATTGCAAAATAGTTGTACAAAGTAGTTGTATAGCAATGGTGGAGGGTTCCCCAATCTCCACATTCTCTCAAGCATGGCTTGCCACTTATGTTTTTGAACCTAGCCATTCTGATTGTTGTAAGGTGCAATCTCAGGTCATTTTGATTTATATTTCCCAGATGACTAAGGATGTAGATAATTTCTTTAAGTGTTTCTAGAAATCTGATATTCCTCTATTGAGAAGTCTCTGTTTAGCACTGGACCCCAGTTTTCAATTGGTTTACATGTTTTTTTTTATGTTTTTGTTTTTGTTTTCCGTTTTTCGTTTTTTTTTTTTTAACCTTCTTCTGTTCTTTTATGTATTCTAGATATTTACCCTCTGTCAGATAGAGGATTGGTGAAGACCCTTTCCCAGTCTGTAGGCTGTCATTTTGTTCTGATGAAAGTGTCCTTTGCTTTACATAAATTTTCAGTTCCATGAGGTCCCATTTATTTATTTTTCATATTAGAGCCTGTGCTGCTGTTGTTCTGTTGAGGAAGTTGTATCCTGTGCCAATGAGGTCAAGGCTTTTCCCCACTATTTCTTCTAACAGATTTATAGTGTCTGTTTTTATTTTGAGGTCTTTGCACTTTACTTTTGTGCACAGGGAAAATATGGATCTACTTGTATTTTTCACCATTTAAACATCCAGTTAAACCAGCACCATTAGTTGAACATTCTGTCTTTTTTCCATTGTATGGTTTTGGCTTCTTTGTCAAAAATCAAGTATCCATAAGTGTGTGGGTTCATTTATTGGTCTTCTATTTGATTCCATTGATCCACCATTCTGCTTCAGTGCCAGTAAGCTGTGGTTTTTATTACTTTTGCTCTGTAGGACAGCTTGAGCTCAGGGATGGATATACCTCCAGGCAATCTGCTATTGTACAGGATTATTTTGGCTATAATGGTTTTTTGTTTTCCATATGAAATCAAGAATTTTTCTTTCAAGTTCTGTAAAGATTTGTCTTGGTATTTTGATGGGAATTGCATTAAATCTCTAGATTGCTTTTAGCAGGATGGCCATTTTCACTATATAAGTCCTATATAAATCCATGAGTAAGGGAAATCTTTCTATCTTCTGATATCTTCTTCAATTTCTTTTAAAAATTAATTTATATTTTTATTAATTACAGTTTATTCACTTTGTATCCCAACTGTAGTCCCCTCCTTCCTCCACTCCAAATATCACCCCCTCTTCCTCATCTGCCATGCACCTCCCCAAGTCCACTG